GGAATATATTTTAGAGTAATCAAAAAATCTAAAAGCCCATGTCTCAGACAATGAGTACATTTTTTTTTCTGCACACCAATGATTGTTATGTGTCTGACTAAGACTACAAGTGTAACTAAGCTATGATTATGTGAATAAGACAGTTCCACTGTCATGGCCCGACTAAGATTTAGTTAGGGCTGGGACCAGTTTATCGATATAAACAATACTGGCCATAATATCTGTAAGTGCAATTTATAATTTTTTTTCCCCCTCTCCTTTTTGTATGAGTGAGCACACTGCTCTCTAATCCATTATTTGAAATTACAGTCCTGATTTACGCATGCAGCAGTGAGCTCCCTGTGAGCTGCATGGAGTAAGCTCAGTTAGCTTAGGATTTTTCATTCTTAATTTTAGTTTAATGTCACAAGAACTTTTTTTTTTTTACATTTACATTCATTTTTACAAATGAAAAGAGCGATTTTTAACGCACTAAATACATCACATCAAATCAGCCATGCTTTTGATCTTTAGCAAACACTAAATATGGTGGAACACTGAATATGGTGGAACTGGATCCACTGAGTAGTACCAGAGCAGAAGTTATCAGTTTTTATCCTGTGTGACTTAAAACGACACAGACACTAGGTATTAGTCCATTCCGGTAAAAAGGATCAGAAACACAGACTCTCATGGGAGCTCTACAGAGCTGATGTAGGCCCTACAGCAGAGCTGCATGTGTGATTGTGGGGTGGAGCTTGATGGTCTGATTCAGCTCAGAACACCGAGCACCTAAAGGAGCAATCAAAATAAACCATAGGAGCCAGCATAAGCTTATAAGACAGCATTAGTGTTCATGAGCATGTTTTAAAACTTTTTTTATTGGTGTCAAACCTTGCAGAGCATTTCAATAGCAATTTTTACAAGCTCTTGTCCATCAGCCTCATCAATTCCCTGGTGCCACCTCGGGGTGTTTTCATACCTGAAAGTCCTGACCAAAGTCTGAACCAAGATTCATGTTTTTGTTACATTGCATACATTTGATCCGGTTAGTTTTGGTTTCACATTAATATTTAGTGACCACACTACAGAACTTTGCCTGACAAACCTACGTCCTGTCGTCATCACCTATGTGGGCTGCGTCTCCCCATACCTGATATTGACTAGTTTTTAGAGGAGCATGCGTCTGATGTCGGCGTGTTGTCAATTCGGCGGGAAGCCTTTTCCATTTGAATAGAAAAAAATGAATATCTCTCATACTCTCAGAAAATAAGGTCTAAGTTTCGGTTTTTAATACGTTCACCAAGCTGACTTAACTTTTTTCGTTAACCCTAAATACAGTTCAATTTTTCATCATCCCTTTCCCTACTACTGCGGCTGATTTTTACTTCTCTTACAGTTGTTTTTCTTCTTCTATTGTTTAATGTTTATTGTTTTCAAACTTGAAAATAATGGCAGACAAAGCATATTATAAGCCATAACAGAAAAATACTTTAGATTGCTTAACATCTCAAAGCCGTAACACTTTGCTGGGCAAGTGTGCTCCATTTGAATAACCCTCCTCCCTTCTGCTGTGAGTGGCCACTTGTGTAATGTAAGTGTGACACACAGACAAGTGGCAAGTCGAAGTGCGCAAGGGAAAGTTATAATTAATAAGTCACACAGATCTGATATTCTCAAACCTGACCTGAGCCATGTGGTCCTAGATTGGACAGCAGTGCCTAACCTGAAGGTAGAGCCAGTAAATGGGGCAAAAGTAAAGCATCTGACCTTTCTGCCTTCGTCTTGCTCTAATAATGAACAGCTGAGAGCGGTTTACAGCTAATTATCTTGGCGGCAGAGGCTTGTTCTGCTGATTGGTTAGTTTGTTGTTCATGATGTACGTGATTCATTCACGTGACGTTATTGATTAGGTTGTGCGCATGCAGGTTATTTCAGAACCCAGGTTCGTTCACATTAACAACAGATGTCCCATACCCACATTAATGGGAACCATCAAGATATGGACATGAGCAAAAAATCAGAAGTGAACAATGAGGCTTGTAAAGTGAACTTAGCCTCATGTGTGTCATAAAAAGGGCATTTCATGTGTTGGCGGGGTATAACGGATTAGTCTTTTAAACAACTAATGTAAATGTCTTGGATCCAGTTTCCAAGTCTAACTATGTAATTAATCTATTGTGTGCATGTAAATGTAGTTACTGTTGTCCATCAGAATACTGAAATTGCAGAAAACCACAATACACAAATAACCAAAATAATGCAGGCCTTTAACCATATAAAATCAAAATGTTCACAAGTGTTTTTTAAAAATAGTGCAAGACCATATGCAATTACATACTGCAACAATGCAACTGCAATTTCAACAAAGTGTTCTTTACATTAGTTAATTTAGTAGTAGCTAGCATCTGTCAGCTCAAGACCTGCCCTAGTTGTACAAATATAATTATATAACTACCACAGGCCTTGGAAAATAAAAAAAAGAATGTTTGCATATAGCAAAGTGATTTATCTGATTAAATAATGTTGCTCATACAAATAAATGTATTATTTCTAAATAACAAATTGTATGCAGCTGCCTAACGGTGAGCATTCAGTGATATGAAAGAACAGCTATCTTGACCTTTACTACACTCCAGTAAGACAAACTGTTAACCATTAACCGTGTGTGAGAAATTACTCATTAGCCTGAAGAGCTCACCCTGATGTAATAACAATGGTAGCAGCTAACAAGAGGGCTTTCCTCCTTTTCCCCATTGTGACCTTGCATTATCCTCATGATTAAGTTTCAGGGTTTTAAACAGCTGCCTGAAATTTCACCTGAGCCATTTTTGATGAGTTAGGGGAAAATGGGTACATCAGAACAGTGTAAACCAACGGCAATCTCTGTGGGCAAAAAAGACAACTAGCTAGTTTAGCAGCTTTCTATCCTCCTGGGCTGGGAGTTCACTCTCTCTTTAGTTCTTTACAAGCCTTTTGGGTAAAATGAACATTATAAGATTGTCTCAACTGATAAGACTCTGAGGCTGAAAGTGGGTGAAACAAAGGCTGGTAGGAACAGCGTTACCTAGCAGCAGCTTTTTACAAGATGCTGCTACAGCAACAGCTCATTAAAACGTCAGACACTTGAATAACAAACAAATAACGATAGCGATACAGGCCAATTAACAAGTATGGGTGAATTCTTAGGGAGCTGACATGCCAATATCTCAGACAAAAAGTGAGGTGTTAAAGACGCCACAGCAGGATCAAAAGATCCCTTATTAATTAAGCTGTTCTTGGAATGAACCCTGCTTTCATTCATCCTCAAGTGAGCTGAAAGCAAGTGAAACCACTGAGAGTGAGTATTTCCTGAGAACAATGGTCTGGAAGAGTCTATGCCCTGGAGCGAGTCTGACAGTGTTATACAGGAAATAGTCTATGTGCAAAAAAGGAAGAGAGAGCAGCAACAATCAGTTCAACAGCTTCCTGTAGTGGTGCTGGTCTGGGGGACTTCAGAGAAAGCAACGGTTTATGAGTCACTGAACGTGACTCGGGACAGTCTCAGAAGTAACCAAGGACAAAGGGGGAAAATTACGCCTGCACTGAACATTTTTACCCATTAAAACCTAAGTACAGGGACAAAAATGCCCCCAAATAATGTGTAAATCAATGGAAATGGGATGGAACTCCACAACTGTACTAATAAAACAGTCACTGGTTTTGACCTAATGGCATGATCAGCGTGCTCATCCATAAATAAAATGGACCACTACTGTTGCAACTAAGATTGAAATGTCTTTTTTTTAATTTGGTATGTATTCCCATTTGTGTTTAAAATGCCCTTGAATCTCAGGCAAAAACTTCACCTTAAAAAAGTATTTTACACCCTCACAGTCACTTTTAAGGCAGGGCAGTTACGTAAAAGAATAGTAGTAAGCAGAATCGATTCAAAAGTAAGGCCAGCTTACGCTAAACATGTAAGAACTAAACAAAATCAAGTTATCGCTGAACATGCTGTTACTTAAAAAGAACTCAGTGCAAGTCTCAGCACTGCTAAAGCCTCTGTACAGTGATGCAGGCTGGAACGGGATACCATGCTGACCAGTCACACAGTGAGGCAGAGGTCTCAGAACAGACGATGCAGTGGTCAGGAGTTTCACACCCTTTCGGCCAAAAAGATGCTTTGCATTAAAATGTTTTCATTTGAAGTATACTCCTGGGTTGAGAGACACAAGCACTACGAGTACGCTAGTTAGACTGCCTATAAACCTGGGCTTGTATCAAAACAAAAAGCGCAGCTGGCCTGGATTACATCATGTGTATAACAGTATAAATATGAAACCAGCTTTTCATAAACAACAGATACTGAAACCAGCTTTTTTTAGTTATTTCTGCACATCTCACATCTTGTTCAGATGCCATTTACGAGGCTCTGAGACTCCTCTTTACAGCCGCTTCAGGTGAGTTTATGGTACAGAATGAGAGGACCGGCACTGGTGCGCTTTCCTGGGAGCAGTAGCACAGCAAGCCCTTTTTATTGACCTCTAGCAAACAATGATATCAGTTTCACTGCACATCACAGTCCACATTATAAAAAAACACTGAGGCATTAAACCACAACCATATCTCACTTCTGTATCCCTGTGACAACAAAGCTACATTAAAAAGGGGAAAAAAAAGACACAAAGTAACAAAGTACTCTGGTTTCAAACACAACATCGATGTGAAATTTGAACTCAGAGTCTAAAACTGAATCATTTAATTGGCGACTATTTGGCTGAAGCTTTTATAATCATGCAATAATAAAACTGCAAATGGACCCAACGTTATTCGATTATATTTACCAAAGTGACAGCAGAGTATTGAACTTTTTATGTCTCCAGGCAGCTGAGGCAGTGATTTTGATCACAATTACAAAGCTACATGATGGGCACACTAAAAAGAAAGCGTAGTCCTTATAGTGTTTTGATGACTAACAGTTCCTGAGTACATCTTCATAAATTAATCACACAAACAAAAAAACAGGACAGCAGCCTTACCTTCAGCTGTAGGACACAGAAGAACGCAGACTCCAGCCAGAACGACTGTGAAGAAATGAAACCGGGTCATTCTTAAACAGCAACTTTGGGTATAAGCACTAGGGCTAGCAGGTGTGTCCGACTCTTTGAGATGTCCGAAATGTGGCTTGAGGACCGAAAGAGATGTCTTGACAGAAAATTGGAGAGGACGAGTGAAGAGGTTGTGACGGCACTAGAAACTCAGAGCTTTGTCCTCACAAGGTCCCTCTATTCCATGGCACTAAAGAGGAAGAAGAAAGAACAGGGATATACAATGAATCAAATATGCATATAGTTCTCCTGCAATGTCAAACAATACATGATGTCTTTACTGCTTATTGCATAGAATCCTGGTGATTACTCAAAATTACAAAACTGGTAAATGTGCTTTTCCAGAACATCATTTAAATGACCCTGCTAGAGAAAAAAAAAAATGGAGCAAAGAAAGGAGGGAAGCAGCATTACAGTCCATTTTCACTTGAAATTGCCAGAAAAAAAAAAAAAGAAAAAAGTAAAATAAATAATGTGGAACATCAATATTAATTAGCCAATCTTTATTTAAACTCAGGGTACACTGAGGGTGACCCTCATTTACAATGTCATCATTAATCGTTATTCAAATACAACAGACAGAAAAGAGTAAACCTAAAAAATCTGTAATAAAAGTGTAACAAGAAAATGATATAATTACACAAGCATGGAAGGCACTTAAAAACAATCAATTCTATAATCAAAATAAACACAAAATGATTCAGTAGAAAACAAATCTAATAAAACAACAGAGTAAGCAGTTAGAAATTTAAATTGGTCGAGTTAAAAGAGCAAAATGAGCTTTACAGAGTCCTGTAATAAATTCCAGCTCACTGGTGCACTGTACCTGTAAGTAGAATACAGTCATGATGCTGCATGAACAGCCTTTCACACCAAAGGAGTTTAAAAACTTGGCAAGTCCCATCCATCATAAAGTTCATAATGTTATAAGGTATATGTTATAAAGTGAGTCTGATTTGTTGTGTGCACCATGCTCAAAGAATCGAAGGCAGTAAATTCCACCTAGTCGTATCTCTATTGTAATATACACCATATTGTTCAGAAGTTTGGAACCACTTGACAGTTTTTTTTCTCAAAATATATAAAAATATTTTCAAAATATGAGAAGTTCTGTAAATAACTTTTATTATAACTTTATTATTGATGTTACACATCTTTGTCCGTTATTATGGACTCATCTATTGCAATGCTCATCAATTTAATGCTTTTCACTCCTACACATTATTTGAAACCTTTAAGTCTGTACTAGCATCATATTCCGCTCATTTTATACATGTACCTGCAACAAATCTTATATCAATGCACTTGAATACTTGTATTTAAAACATGCTGCCTTTCTCTGTGAGAATGGTTGAATCCACAGTTGTAGCTCTGTTTGTCCAGATGACACAGACTGCCTTGGGACTATGGCTTCTTTAAACAAAAAATCAATAATGTATAATTCAAACACAATCTACGCTTAATCACTTCTCTTCGCTACTTGCAACTTGGAGTACTTGTGATCTTGATGAACACCTTTACTGAAACTATAAGAGATTAAGAGGTACACCATCACTGATGGAACACGGATCTCTGGAAGGTAAGGTGCTGGACTACTCACTCAATCTTTTTCTCCTTTTTAATGCTGCCCATCACTGCCTCTTGTTTTTTTTCCCCCATTTTTTCAGACTTGACCCCACAACCCCTGTCAGACTGGCGCTATTCTTGAATACCGTAACATGCCCAAATTATTTGTTGAAGGATGTTCCGCAATTACCCGCACTGGCCCTATCCAGCGTTAATAACATGATGTGTCTGTTCCCTTGTAGGCTTGTATGTCTCTCCGCAATTAGTGGCTCAGAGCAGAGCCTCTGCCGAGGGGAGGGCAAATTAGTGGCAGCGTGGGCCGGTGTCTGTCACTTTTGATTTGCCCGAGGGGGACAAAGAGCCCCGACCTGTGCCCCACTTTTCACACATCCCTGACTGGATAACAAGGGAACAAAGTGGGCCTCCTCAAGGCAAAGGGACAAGACAGCCATCGAGGCACCTTCACAAAGGGCCAAGGTCCAAGTGTGTGCGGCTTTGCTGAAACAACTGATTACCATCAGGGAGTTTCAACAAGTCCATGGAGAAGCTCCAGGCCTGGAAGACTGTTTAACAACCTCTCACTTTTAAATGTCCTTTAGCCATGAGGTGGCCCAAGAAATTAAAAACATACCTCAACCACTGAAACAGACCCATCCATCCTCTGCTGTTGTGAGGCTGGAAAAACTTTACAGAATGTTGGCAAAAATACCACTCAACAAATTAACTTCTGATGGAGATCAAAGAGCCTACAGAAATTTGAAATTTTTCAAGAAAACTGTTGAGCTTGTCCATGTTGTTGTAGCTATTCATAACCACACGGGTTGGACAAAACACACTAACCTCTTTATGAACTCATCTGTTGTGACCATAACTGCACAAAGAAAATGCCAGAATTTATCCAAAAGAAAAAATTGCTTGCTCCAATCTGGCAATTTGAATTTAAACCTGATGAAAAGATTCTGCCAAATCTGTAAGAAAAATCTTAAAAAAAAGATAGTAACGGTAGTAACATCAGTCTTCAACTGAACATTTCACATTGTCCACAGACAACAAGCAGCTCCCAGCCTCTTCCTCAATCACAACCCTCCATCAAGGATGCCTTTGGCAACTCTAAGTACGACAGAGACAGCCAGAGGGGCAAGAGAGGTGGTTTCAGCACAATTCAGAAGGCCAATTTTGAAGAACTGGTAACATCGGTGAATCATCAGGATGAATTACGAAGCCTCAGATACTTCACCCAAACAGCCATTCCAAGCTACAACAACCAGGTTCACTCAGATGTGGAATAAATGGTTTACAGTGCCCAGTATTTGGCACTGACTTTAGACGTGCTCAAGTATTAAATTACAGTCTAATGTCTGTTACTGCACACTTACAGCAGTGAGTGGAAATTAGAATCAAAATGCCTCAAGACCAGCTATTTCCCAGAGACGTACCTGAGTGACAATAAGCTTCCTTGAAACTTGAAATTGAAGAAAAGTCATCTTTCCAACATTTTTTTAAGACCATCAAAAAACTAAACTGGGTCTGGCAGAGTTGTTTCTGACATCTTTGAGTGACAAATTCTATAAAATCCGAGAGCACTAGTTGCATGGTGTTGAAACAGCACTTTTCCTCACAGCTGGCAGAGCAATAAAACATTCAGACTTCCCAAACAGTTTGACCTCAGCAAGAATAATCCTAATGGAAAAAAGCCTCCATACACAGTTACGTTTCATTTTACATTTATCAACATAGTTAATCATAGTCATCATTAACTCGCGTTCAACATTTAGAGAAATATCTATTGGCTGCTTGCCAATTTTTTCTTTTTGTTATTAAAATAATTGAATGTTCATTCTTTTCGTGCAGGACTGCTCGAACAGATGGGGATCAAAACAGAAGATGGTGGAACACATTTTGAAGTAGGCCCCAGCAACCAAGCAGGTCTTCGCTAAAAATAGGCGCCCTCCCGTTACACTAACCTGGCACGATGAGGCGATGCTTGAGAGCCTCAATGAGGCTCTGAATCCTGTAGCAGACTTTACAGATATCCTCTACAGTGAGGATTACATGACTGGCTCATCACTTCTACCAAAGCTGAATTTCCTTACACAGAAGACACTTACACCCAAGTAAGGAGATGATCCACTGACCACAGAAATAAACAAACATTCTGGCCAACCAAATATATGAGACTCAAACAAACAATTAATGTGACCCACTACTTGTCTGGATCCTCTGTAAAGGACACGGAAATCTCAAGGAAATAAACAGACTTGGGTCAGGCAAAAATGCTTAATCTTGGTAAAGAATGATAACTTCTTGGTAGGGAACGGAACACCATTAATATCACTATATTTTGAGAACAAAATCATGACTGAACCTGGCATGTACTTGTTCGAAAAATGTCACTGATGGTGAGGAAAACACTTATTTGGTGGAAAACACAAAAGATATTGTTTCTCATTTTGGTATAAACTGCCTGCAATTACCGGTGCATGTGTGCTACCAGCACCGCGACAGAAAGACTGTTCAACACAGCTGGTATTCTTACACTCTCCTATAGTCAAAATGCTTGAAATAGACTTCTTGACTGTGTTTTTTTCAATGCAATTGGCTTCAGGGACATTCTGACGGAGGTGTGTGTAAAGCAGGAAAGAGTATGAGTTTAGGTAGCATGAGTTTGTTTAACTACCAGGTTTAAAACAATGTCAACGCTGCTCATCAGCTGCTGTGAGCACAAACTATAGTCACAAAAACATCTCTATGTCCTGCACAGCTCTGCACCTTGTTCATTGTCTGCAATGAATAATGATTAGAAACAGTAAATGGAACAAAAAAAGCAAACCAAAAACAAACAAAACTTCTCACAGAATGTTGCAGAAAAGGGGATGAAGCTTAAGTTGACTTTTTATTTGCCAGCTTTGTATTCAACATTTTCCATTTCACCTTAAATGGTCCTGTAGTTACCTTCTCGTGTCGACGCACCATTAAGGTTAAATGGTGCATCATTTAAGGTGGAATGGAAGAGCTGAAAAAGAAACTGGTGAATACACTTTTACAATGCAATACAAAACTTTTTTTAATCAAAGAATTAAAAATTACAGTAATGATTTTCTCAGTACATTAGCCCTCATTATGTGAAACAGGCTGATGGTAAGATGTGTTGAAACAGTCCATTTGTCAAGCTACCTGATATTACTCTGTACAGTTTATTAATTTATCAAACCATTAATCTTTATCTACTCAAAAATTGAATTTGTTATCAGCTCTGGTGCTGTCTTATTGAGCTGTCGAGTTGAATACAGAAAACCTAGAGTTGTGCCTCACTGCTGAAATGGTGGAAATAAAGGAATAAAAAAGCTTGTTCAAGACTGTGTTGATTGGTAACTGGTTGGCCTACAGAAACTTGCTATAAGCTATAGTCACGCAACTGTCGTTTACTTGCAAACCTATTTGATAATGACTCTCTGCAGCACCTCTCCATGGCTTGGTGCACATGAGTTTTTTAACTGTTCTTGATAATTAAACTGTTATAGGAGATGACAAATCATTATATATTTTTAAATGGTAAATCACAATTAACTAAAAACCCTTCCTAAGATCATTTCAAATTAATGAGTGATCTCAATTGCCTACAGCAGTGGCTCCCAATCACCGTATGAGATTACCCTCTTGCTTTAACACATCTGATTTAACTCTAGTATTCAAAGCAAATCTGCAAAGCAGACAAACGTTAGGAATTACTTTTAATTTTATGAAAACTTTTCAGACAGATGTTGCATAATCCCTCTGTATGAATGGCTCAGCCAGCACAGACAAGCCCTGGGTTGATGGAGACACAGCTTACTGTAAAGTAAAACAAAAAACCTCTCACCTACAATGTGTGTGGGAGAAATATTTGGCTGTTAGGGGGATGAATCAGACAAAAAAGCTATTGAGAAACCTCATACCACTTAAACCACGCATCAAACCAAGTTAACTGAGGTCAAGGGTTTACTGTAAAGTTCTTTTACCCTAAAAGAAAGTGATCATTATGTGTAACACAGACTAAGTAAAAAAAATAAATAAATAAATAATAAAACAAAATAAAAAACACCAAAGCACCACTGTAAGTCTAAAATACTGTAGGTGGACTTCAAACCTCGTGTAAGAAATACACTTAATGCCTAAACATTTGTAGACACCTGCTTACCCAACATTCCTTGTGAAATCTAGAATATTCACAGGAAATTTTCTGAAAGAACAGCCTCTACACTTCTGAGAAGGCTTTCCACTAGATGTTGGACATTGCTGTGAGGATTTGATTGCATTCAGCCACAAGAGCCTTAGTGCAGTTAGGCACTGACACAGGATGATTAGTTCTGGATAACAGGCCACTCAAACTCATCCCAAAGGTACTGGATGGAGCTCCATCACTCCAGAGAACCCAGTTCCTTTGCTCCACACCCCAGTGCTTGAAGGCTTTATACCTCTCGACACTTGGCACAAGGCATGGTGACCTTAGGCTCATGAGCAGCTGCTCCACAGCGTCCTGTTCCATGGGTAAAGGTTTTCTATGGAGAATATACAAGCTGTATGTGCATAGCTGAACAACTGTGTCTGCAACTGGTGCACCTTAAAGTAGCTGAATTCACTAATTTGAAGATGTGTCTGGAAATATTTGGATATTTAGTGTACATTAAACCTCATCTGATGCAACAGTGTGTGGAAGAGTAGGTTAAAGGAGAATGACAGCTAGTTGTAAGAAAACGACAGTTATAAAAAATGTTATTTTTTCACAGCATTTTAGGGACCAATTACCAGCAGAGTGCAAAATTAAGTATTCATGCGTGCAAATACATTAAAACTAAATAAAAGGTGAACAAATGCCTTGTCACTATGAACAGAATCCATGTAATCACTCAATCAGTTCATCTTTCTAAACAGTCTATACCACACTGAAAGACAGTTTTAAGATGAGATATAGTTCAGTGTTTCATTACACACTGCTGAAAGTTGAGCATTCACTGGCGCCATACATTTCTGTAAATGGCAGAAGAATCAAAGAAGGCATTGTACTATGTGACCATGGTGCACCTGAGCAGATTCTTATAGCCAGCCAGCGACGTCTAGCCATCCTCAGGGAGGAATATGGTCTGCTCCCCATTGTGAAAGGTTACACAATGCAGGGGTACCTCAAATCAGTCACCCAATCCGTTAATGCTGGTGTTGCGATAGTAAAATTTGTTCTCACACACACACAACCACATGGTCTATACAGCAGCAATTATGCATATTTGTATTAAAAAAACCTCTTGTATTAAAAAAATTGTATTACCAAATACTTCCATTAGCAACGTGAAGTTTAATCTTTCAGATATTACCTTGTATTTTTTGTAGTATCAAAACAGTATATAGTACTTAAAATATACTACTTCAAAGACAGAATACAGCCGTGCAGTGAACAGCAGAGAACCATGTGTCAAAGAAATACCACTTATCCTTCAATATCACAGCTCATGTAGTTGATACCACTGCCTGCCCAGCATGGTCTGGTGTTTGTCTGCCCCCTCCTCTCTTTGCCTGGCTTGGCCGGGCTCCCTGGTCCCTCCTGGGGCCCCTCCTTGCAGGCAGCACTCAGTGTGCCGCGGCTACCTTCCCTCCATGTCGGCGTCCTGCCCGACATGCCTTTCAAGGCTTGCTACACTGCAGGGCAGACTTTCTGGCTCCACTGCCATTGTCTGTTTGGCTGCTTTGCGCCTCATCCCGGGAATGGATTAGCATAAGAATACTGAGGCACACTGAGATGTGCCCCTTGACCAGCCCTCTCTCCATCATCCTCTCTTTTCCTTCTGCTTCTCATCTCTGGCTCTCCATTACTCTAAAAGCCGGTACTATTAATCATCATAACGCTGCCTCCTGTAGAGCTAGCTGACCAGGCATACTTAAGGCTACAAAATTGAGTACACTGGACCACAGTACGCAGCAGGGAAGGAATAAAAGTTAACTGGTGGAGCACCTAGGTGCAATATGAGCTATTAGTCAAGTCTGAGAGTGAAATAAGTTGATAGAGGAAGGCTAAACTGTATCCAGCTAAAAATCAGCCTAGGCAAAACTCTAGGCAAAATTTTTTGCAATGCATTAGTGTTTCTTCATACCAAGTATTTCTCATCACCCAAGTATTTTGTACATACTACTGGAGGCACAGCACTTAAGTCATGCAGCAAAAAAAAATCACTCAAAGCTTAAAATTGTCATTTCTGTGCACGTTCCTGCTACTGTGCGGTATAAAAGGTCACATCAGCATTTACCTTTTCATTTAATTCAGCCTCATGAGCTGCCAGGTTTGGCTGAGGTGCAGACATTAGGATGTAACTGCCTAGCAAATGTTTGTTTCCAAGTGTTCGGTTTTTCAATGTGGTGGGTACTCATTTTTAAGTAAAATTCTCAACCTATTTGGAAAGGTAAATATGCACCAAATTTAGATCCCAATAATCTGGTTATTCCACTGCCGATCTGATCATTGATACAGCAGTGTGATATAACCATGTGCGGCAGAGGAGTAGAATCTAGCTCTAGCATCTAGCCACAGAAGGTTAGACACAATGCAATTTCAAGGTCATTAAAGAAAATATGGTTTGTATCCCTGAAAAGGTGATTAAAAAAAAATAATAAAATAAAATGAACAAACCAAAACCTGAATCTGCACGGTTACCCACCAGCATGGGCAGAATGCTACCATCACAGTGATGCAGTGATGACTGCAAGCTTGCTGTTATTCATGATACACAAGACAGATCCAAGCAGACTTGCTCTGTGTGTACACATATAGTGCCTGCTAGTTAGTTAGCTAGGCATTTGTACTATAAGGCTAGATACTAGCGCAATCAGTTAACATCTACAGCTGGTTGTAAAATTTGCTGAGAGTCTGCTAATTTGAAATAGTTTGGAAAGACACCATCAGGGTGTTTTAAACACTGAAAACAGAAATAAAATGAAATAACTTGGGTAACAAAATGGTTTACTAGAGATTTACACATCTATCAGTATCAATACATCCCTACACAGCACTGATGCAGCTGTCCCAAAACAGTTTTGTATAAAGGAAGAAATGGACAGAAGTGTCCAGAAACTACAAAAAAATATGCACTATGCATGCTGTGTGTATTGTTAATACTTTATCATGAGTCGTTTATGAAGAAATCCAGATCCTCTTAAAGAATTTAAAGTTTTTCCTCACAATTAGAAATATTCTGTAAATAAGCAACTTTTCACCTCATCATAACACAAGGCCCCCTAAAGTGATCGAAACAAAAAAAAATTCCTTAGCTTGTACGAGGTATCAAATCAAGTCACCTCTGAGAAACTGTAGGTAAAACTAAAAACTGTAAAACCCTAAATCTGAAGGCCTGACCTCAGCCTAAGAACTGTATCACTTATACTAACTGCATTACAGAGTACAGTTGTACATACCATAATGATACATCCATTTCTTGGAGCCATGTTGCTGAAACATGTGTTGAAAACGGTGGCAGGTTGTTGATGTCATTCAGATTTACACAGCAAAATGTCCAACTGGCATCTGGATCGTCACTGCAACGGGTTCAGAACAAGAACAGAGAAACAGTATTTTGTCAAGAATTGCAATCAAATCTGTTAAACAAAACACTGTGAAAGTGGGAAAAGGGAATATTATTTTTATTCAAGCCAATTTTTGAACATGAGATATACTGTAGACTCCTGTTGGCAAAACGGTTAACTTTAACAATTACCAATAGTAACCATTTCAATACAGTTTCAAAAATGTAAAGTTCAAAATTGCACCAAAATTTAAAACAGTATCTGTGGAGTATATAATTAGGGTTCTGTAGAATCAAGATATTTCTAACACATATAGGGCCAATTTCCCAGACTCAGGTTAAGTCTAAGCCTACCCTGAAAGGAATTTCCAATAATGATTTTCTATTGACACTGAAATTTGGTTTAGGCTAACTTCATGTCTGAGAAGTCAGGCTGGCACATAATTTTGAAAATCAGACTGAATCTCGACCTTAGAATCAAGTATCAAACCACAAAAAAAAGTGTTATACAAGAACGCAAAACATCTTTGGACAGAAATACACCAATACCATTGTGCCTTGCCAAGACTATGTATTTCTTTCATTTCAGCATGACCTGAATAAATGTGTTTTCATCAAAGGTCAATTTTTAATAACTATGCACATCAGAATCTTTCAGCATGGACATGATATATCCCACAATTTTCTTTTTACCCAATTTACCAGACAGAACACTGTAAAAGAGGAAAATAGGAAAATTATTCACTACTGTTTGATACTATAATAAATAACCTATTAGACGTATCAAAATAAGCCCACTGAGTAACACTTTAAGACAGAGCAAAAATTTGAAGCATCATTTGGGGGTGTCTGAGGACTATTGATTTAGATTATATCATTACGTAAGATGCATTTGTACCTTCGCCAGAGCAAAAATTAGGCAGGTTGGGGTTGTGTATTACTAGCCGTAGAGGGTGTTTTAAGTTAGAAGTATGACAACAGTTAAGCACCATTAACATTCCCCTTGAACAGACAAAAAATAAAAATAATACAGAATTCTTGCAGCCAACAATAAGAACTGATAATACAATAATTACCATGAATAACAGAATAAAAACCATGTCTATCATTTACAATGTATTTACAACTAACAAGCATGTTTCAATACCAAAACAGTAAGGTATTGCTTTGATTAACAAAACATTCATTTAAAACTTTACATTAATAAGAATGTTGCCGTTGTAGTAACTGTTGTATTCCCCCTTGCTGATGTAGCCTGGCCTGGTGTCATCAAATCTTACGTCACTAGATACTGTTCAGCTTATTCAACATCTTATGTTAAAGCTGCACTTTGTAAGATTTGGGGATTTGAAGACAGTGGAAATGTGTAATTTCGTGCAGAAGAACATTCAGAAAACGTTGGATGTGCTTAGGACCCCATAAGCGAACAATCTGAAATTTGCCAGTGCATTAAAAGAGTTCTGAAAACATTCACCGCCCACAAAGTCCAACTCTCAAACTGCAAGCACACCAGATTTTAGCATGTTTTTTTCCTCCTGAGTCAGTGATGCTACTTCTTTCAATTTTGACAAACAAAATAAATCATCCACAGTGCTACTTTAGAACCAGGCCATGCACTACACCATCAAATTAACACACTACTTACAAAATACGATTTGATGTAATTAATAATAGTTTAATGTCCAACCAAACAGGTTTGTTCACAGTGAAAAATAATGCAAAAAAAGGCAAGCAGCCACTGTGGCCACAGGTTCAGCATTTTTAGTGGCCGAAATGTTGTAGCCAGGGGGACCGTGCAATAGGCAATGTCTGCCCCTGCCCTTGAAACTGATTACTACACGTTACAAACTCCAGGTATTATGAGGTATAACTCTTTAAAAAGCGACTTTAATCAAAATATGCTGTTTGGGCATGTTATGTTGTTGACGCTTTTTAACCGTCAACACCTAGTGAAACAAGATGAGTAAGTCAAGAAATGCAATGTGAGGGAAACAAAAGTGAGCAAGCAAATTAAAAGGGAGGTTAACGAAAGCACCTACAAAACATCCTATATTAATAATCCAAGATCACAATCTCAAGCGCCTCCTCTCTCTTTATCACATTCAGTGTCACCGCTGTTAAAATAGTGGGATAAACATGCAGGACAGCTGCATTTACAAAAATAAATGAATACTGATCCAATCATGCCAATTTCAAACAGGTCCTATCTTACTGTTTTGGTACAAAAACAGAAGAAAAGTGAAGTGGGTTACTGTTTAGGCCTTCATGTACTATTTATCTTTTGTCCCCAACTTATCTTCATTTGAACTCTACCAGAACAACATCCTGTCAGCAGTTCAGTAGGTAAAAGGCACTGAAAAAGCTTTCTTTTGTGCTGATAACATGACTTTTCTTTTAATAAAACCACATGCACAGTCAACTCAATTTTCTAGGACTCCACAATCACACCTAAAATAATAAGGCAAGCTTTCTAAACTCCAGTTTGTTATATAAAAGAAAAAATCTTAAGTCCTCTCTAGGTTCCATCCCATCCTCGCATTCTGCGTATCTGGTGCCACTCTAAATAATTGATTTTGATAGCTAAGAGTATTTAAAGCAAGATCAATACCATTAAAGGACAACTTGGGGCTTATTCAATACCCTGAGACCATTCTTCTAATAGAAGAGGTCATAATTCAGCCTCCTCCTACACAGCCTCACAAAATCTCTACTTTTATTGTTTCATTTTACTGATGGATGTTGCAAAGAAAGTGAATATAAAGACTTGCACTCACCCTTCTTCTTGCACTAGAAACCATCCTAAATCTATCCTCAAGTAATAACAGGTCAGTCACACGGTTTAAGGAGATATGCTTTTACGCTGCATATGAGGCTCAGGCCTGAGGTAGATGATATAAGAAAGGGAGTGAATGTTTTCCTCTCCTGCTCAGCCATCCTGTCTCCACTGTTAGTCAGAGTGGTGGGGTGGAATGAAGGGGGGCCGACTTTAGAAGGTGCAGAGAGCTGAAGAACGCAAGCAGGGATGTGAAATCTGATCTAACCAACCTCCCCCACCTCCTCCAACAACCACCTTCCTCCCCAGTGCCACCTCGTCATAGCCTCACAAAGCAATCTGATCCTCTCTCCTGCTGAGATTGAAATACACTCCTAGATAGCTCTGGGCAACTCAACCTGGGCTGGAAATGACAGATATTCAAACACAACTGGCAAGCTAAGGAAAAAAAAAAGTTTATGTGAAACGTCATGTTTGATTTTACAGATCATCAGTGTTCACGCAATCGTCCGCGCTCATATCGTTCCATTTACGTGACCACTTGCACTGAGCATGTAGAGGCAGACCTTGTAACGTCAAGAGAAGAGTTTCATTGTCACAGAAAACGCACCCAATTCACAATCAACCATGGACCATACTGAGCTCTGCTGAGTGAAATGGCAGTTACATTTGCATCTCTAACTGAAACTTATACAGTGTAAACCTAATGAGCTAACTGATTCCTAATTCCTATGGCTTGGATTTGTTATAATTTTGCTAATTCAGAAATGATAGCATTAACACACTTTCATAGTATGCATACCAATTTAAAATTAAATCATTCTCCATCAGCCATGTCTTGGAAAGTTAGTCAAACACAATGATGTTGGCTTCATAAGCAGCAAATTGGAAATTTCACAGTTTTTGAGATTTCAACCAGCCTGTTTAACATTTTCATCCCCGTATTATTACGAATACTTGAACTACAATCACAGAGACATTTAACCAAGTGAAACCTCTAAGTGGTACAATATTCTAGTTACATCCTAAAACACTACACTCAGTCAATAACGCTTGACTGTAAGACACACAATATATTGTCCTCCAATAAAACAAATATTGTAAAAGTGGAAATTTATTTTAGAATGTTTGAAAGTACCAAAAGAATTGCACTAAAATTAATGGAGTGATGGGGGTCCTTTTTAAAGACTGACAATATCCACGATATGTTCAGAAAAGCATACTGTATCATAATAACAATCTATACTGTCATGTTGCTGAGCCCTACATTTTATTGTTTATACTGCTCCCAACACACCTGAACTAACTAATCAACTTGTTTACAACCCCTTACTGAGCTGTAGTGGGTGTGTTAAAGCACAAAAAGCACCTAAATGCGCCAGGCATTGTGCCTACAGAAACCAGGGCTGGGAGACATTGCTCTAAGGTATATGAACTTGTTGTGTATGGCTGGTTCATAAACATATTCAGGGCACACAAGCTCTGTATATTTTAAAAAGCTCATTTAGTGGCACTGTGTTCCTATTTGAAATTAGAACACAGATCAACTTACAAAGTAAGCAAAATTAGTTCTGTTTAACTGGATTTAGAAGAAAAATCATCGTATTTACAGTTTTTGATTATTTCAAAATGTAGCAATACTGGTTCTTTTTTCTTAGTTTCAATGGATCATATGTCTGACAAAATAGACATTCATCGTGAGAATTTCTAGAAGTATCGTGATATTATATTTTTACCACATTGTCCACCTCTAATAAAATGTGCAGGGCAGCATGCCTCCAGGACGAGGGCTGGGGAAACAGTGCCTTAGTGCAGGTGTGCTCAATCCTGGTCTTGGAGATCTACCACCCTGGAGAGTTCAGATTCAACATGCCTGGCTGTGATAGTCAGATGCCCCTGAAGGCCTTCTACACCTTGGCCAGGTGTGTTATACCAGGGTTGGAGCTAAACTCTGAAGTGTGGTAGATCTCCAGAAGCAGAACTGGGTACCCTGGTCTTAGGAAATATCTGCAACCATGTTTAATAACACAAACACAGATACCAATTCTGTCGATTTTAAGGGACAAAACTATCCTATCTATCTAAACAGCTATCCAAACTAAATATCTATCCAAACGGTCCACAGGCCCAGGTAATATAATCGCTATCCTTTTTTCTACATATTATACAAGAAATATTCATAGATTAGGAAATCTAACAATAACAAGAGAAAGCAATAAGACAAGAAATACACATAAAATCCGTTTAAAAAGACATGAACATCATATTAACCATCACTGAGTTAAGAAATATAACCACAAACATCATTACACCTCTAAACCACCTCAATCTGGAATGTATGCACCTCAGTCAGCAACAGAACTTAATCTCTCAAGGAGTATCCATCAGAAAAGCAGAACTACACATTCTTGCTCCTACAGGCTAGAATCACTTTAACATCAAGCGGCAAAAAAAGTCACACACAAGAAAATACGCCACGTTAAAATATGCCCCTGTGTGTTTCTAACATTATCTTGTACTCTCACTCTGCCTCATTTTTACTGATTTTGTCAGATATTGGCTGGTGATGTTTTTCAGTAATGGAGAGTTTAGAGGAAGCTGTGGAATGTACAGCTGTTTGGCATATGTACACAGCAAGCATTTAACTTTAATTTTTTCCAGAGAGTAAATTTCTTTTTTTGTCTACAGTCCTTTTGAATCAGTTGTACAGTATTTAGGTGGCATCTGTTTTTCTTACCCCCCATAGCCTTCTGCTAGTTTTGACTGGTATGAGACAGTAGGCAAAACTAGCAGAAGGCAAAGGCTTCCCTCTCACCCCCCAATGTCTACAAATTAAAAACAGCTTTTTAAAAGGAAAACTCCAGAGATTTTTCTAGAAATTCTACATAATTAAATGGGTTGAAATCTAAACAAATTCAGTTTCAATTGTAAACAAATCCTGAGAGGTCTGATGTAAAATGCTCAGTTCTAGAGAAACCTGTGGAGTTAGAATTGTTCACAGTGGCGGTGACAGGAACCAGACGACTGAAGAGTTTAATGCCTCTGAAAGCTCTCTCACAGACAGTTTTTACATGAAATTGCTAGATATATGCTGCCTGATGTCTGACACGTTGTTTTATGATAGTTTTGTGAGAAGGTTTTGGTTTAAAATGTAATTTAATCCATTCATGGCAGAAGGGTTCAGGCAGGGAGGTATGAGACAAAACAGTCCCCAAAGCAAACTTATTTTTTCAGATGTATGACGATTTTACCATCATCAACATCACATATTAAAACTCAGAAGACACGTGTAGTTTCACTAACTAGTGGTTTTGGATAGTAAATAAAATTGCTATATTAGGGTCGCAGACATTGTGATCCCTGGTTCCCATCAGCGCCACTGTAAAGAAATCTATAGAGTCTCTACCGTGAACCACCTCACATTAAACCACTCTGGATGACTGTTTACATCTCAAAGACTGAGCTATTGAGAAACCTGGTTCAATTCTACTTTGAGCACGGAGGGAAAGGCAGAACCTGAGAAGAGTAGCTAACTTTACCCATCAAAGTCCCTTGAACAAACTACGTTATCAAACAACAATAAGAAAATTAACTTTAGCTAACGGTACTAGTCTGATAATTTATTTTTTAACGGTTAGCGCGCGTAAATCAAAGCTCATGAATGTCTAATCTTATTATTTGTAGACAAAATGATAAGTAAACACTGACAAACCCAGTAATAAAATCACGTTTTGCTACGAACAGGCCACATTTACACATTTCTGCTGGGACGAAAATCGCGCTGGCTGGCAGGCTAACGTCAAGCTAGCAGGCTAACTCTATCAAACTAACTTCATGTTTGAAACTGAGTGGCTGAGCCTTTAAGCTAAAGCTAACCCACACTGTATGTCTATCACTTAGTCGAGCTAAAGCTGTCTAAAACCTAATTCACTCGCCAAAACGAACGTATTGAAGATTTTTCAAATTGTAAAGTAGCGTTAACTCTCAAACACTTCAGGTTAGAGCCACGATACTGTAACGTAACTAGCTGTTAGCTCAGACAATGTTATAAACAAATGAAAGCTCGAATAAATGTCGTCATTCTGGCATACTGAGAAGAGTTGTCGGTAGCGACCCAACTAAATTCAGTATAATTTGTTTTAGTTATCAAGCAAAGAACAAGAAATACAACCAGAAACGTTACAACGTTAAGTTAGCTTAGGTCAGCTAGCAGACTAGCAGCACCTCTTCACCTAACGTTAGCTAGCAAGTCAGTCCACAAACCTGCTTCTGGGAAAGTTGGCTAAAACGCTAACACACACGGACATGAGGGTAACAATAGTGAAACGTTCAAACAAACATTTTTTAGATACCATCACCGAGCCCACGGGAGAAGGCTTTTTTATCGTCCGACAGGTAAGATGGCCAGTCGAAGAAAACACAGGTAAACATGCAGGAAAACGCAGCGTAACCAGAAAAAAAAACTTTGACGGACGCAGCCCGAACAGAGCTAAAACCTGAGACACCATCTCATTTGTTCTCATTTCGACTTACCTGTTTACCTTCCTGACTCCAAATAAATACCTATTGACAACGTTAAAGGTTGTCCGTATATCCAGATAATTTGAGGCGCTTTTTTCTAAATAACTTCTCACATGGGGCCAACAGTCTGAGTGCCTCGATCCAACGGACGGTGGGTCCTGCTGTGCGAATAGCGCAGCTGCTTTTCAGTCGAGCCAAACTGCAGCCGCGAACCAGTTTAGCAGCTTCACACAGGTTTGCTAGTATCCAACACCCGTCAACATTAAAATATTCAACACCCTCGAGCAGCGACGACGCAAGAAAGTTATTTACCTTCGTGAATGTACGACTCAGCAGTGCCTCCCAGCGAAACGCGCCTGTCTCTCTCTGAATAAAGAATACAGCTCACGGCGCAGCTTCGCTTTTACACTTAGTGCTACAGTGGTGATGCGGAGTCGATTCCAAACGAACCATGCTTGGAGTCGACTCTTCGATTCGACGTGTTGTTCATCATTACTGGCTCGAAGGACATTCTGGAGGTGAGTAGGAGAGTCAACAGAGTCCGAGTTCGAGTAGTTTGAGTTTGTTTAATCAGCAGCTTTAAACAATGTCCTGTTCTCCAGCAGCTGTGAGCACAAACATACAAAAACGCTCTGCACATCCTTCATGATTAGGTTTGCAGTGATTACAATGATTAGAAACAATATAAAGAACAAAAAAGAAAAACAGAAAAATAATTTTCACAGAACGTTGTGTAAAAGAGGATGAAGCTGAAGTTGGAGCTTCGTATTCAAATTTTTCGTTCCACGTTAAATGGTTTAAAATGTATGCAAATGTTTCACTTCTCACCTCAAAAGTCCTGCATGACCTCCTGACCTCGTACACTCCCTCTCGCTCTCTCAGGTCTTCTTGTAATAAATTACTTGCTATCCCACACACCAGACTTTCCATCTTGGGTGGGGGGTCCTTCAGTGCCATGGCCCCCAAACTCTCTTCCTCCATCTCTCCATGACTGCTCTTCTCTGCTTTCAAATCTGATCTAAAGGCTTTTCTTTTTCATGAGAATTTCTCTTCCTCCTTTACTGCCTAGTCATAGTGTCTTTGTGTGTGTGTGTGTGTGTGTGTTCTTTGTTGTAAAGACACCTTGGAATTGTGAAAGACGCT